GACCTTTTAGGGTCGAAAATGAGACCTTGTGTACCTTTTAGGGTCTCTGGCTGACTCCCCGCTGACTCCGTACCTTTTATGTTAAGGTTTGTTCGTTTCGAAAAATATCGAACGTCATACAAGAATATAATGGTTGGAAATGTTGTCATTTTAAATATGGTCGTACCTTTTAGGGTCTGAAATCAGCATCTCAGTTAATTTATGTGTACCGTTTAGGGTCATTTTTAAAACCGTCCGTCGAGCCCCCCTACCCACTTTTCAAGAGAGTTCCCTCCCCCCCCGGAATATTTTCCTATTGCAGAAGCTTTTGTACCACCCACTAACCCCTGGGCCCATCTGTGATCAAAATAAACCAATGATAGGAATGCCTGCAATCYAGGCTAGCCACCCAATGGAACTAATATAAGAGGATTCAGGTTACATAGTACCAAGAGCAGAATGCAGTGGAGAGTAAAAGCTTTGACTACAACATTGGAAAGAGAAAGTCTGTTAAATGAACCTACTGAACTGAGTTGCAGTGAATGGTGCCCATTCCAAACACCAATATGATCTTTACACGAAGGTAAGCCAGGTTTACATTAACAAATATACTAATCTAAAAGGTGGTTGTGGAAAATGACCTTACCATTTCCGAAAGCCCAGTCATCGTTCAGTCTATGACGCACTTTCGTGTAAATAGCTGATATTGTTTTCATGTTGCTCTTGCGCCAATTGCGACCCAAATACTTGGTCTGTGCCTTCAAAAGCTGTGTAAGAAGGGAAAAGAAATTCTCAGTATTTGCTGTAGAGTAGTTCAACGCACGTCCGTCAAATGGTACGGATATGATAATGAATGTACAACACCCCTCGAATCAGCTATAGTGAACAAGATCATTGCTTTCCCAATGCAAATGTTTGGTCACGGTACGGCCATGATTTAGCGTGGGTTACCAAATTTTCGGTAGAACATAATTTTTCGATTCTTTATGAGCAAATTTCGTTGGATGTCATGGCACTTACATACCGTGCCTTGGTTGTCCAGGCAATATAAATGTGCCAGCATAAATCTGCGCACTCTTACTAACAGACATTAATTCCGCTCCGTTACCGTGACGGTTGTCGAGGTTTGTCGCATTCGTACGAGTTAGGAGGGCACGGTTAACTCACAGATCGATTTGTAATATTTCCCACCTTCAAAACGTAGAGCTGGAGCATCTCATGCTTAGCCTTCAAGGCTCTCTTAAGGATTGGGGCAGATTTGAAGACGACCAGCATCTAGCGGAAACGATACAGAATGAATGACAGATCTCTTGGTGATAACAATATAAACATGTTCGGAGCAGCTACAACCAACCATTGAGCCAACACCCCAAACCCTCCCACCTTCCCCCTTCCCCATCCCCTCCCCCTCAAAGAAACAAATTTCGAGGTTACTGACCATAGTCCTAGAGTGTTTCCACTTGGTCAACTTCTGCAGAATACGAACCAAGTTGATACAAGAAAACAAGTTGCGCCAGCAGCATCCTTCAAGATCAGCACTCTCCTTTGACAATAAGCCACAATAAAAAAGCATGGTAAAAATTTAGCATCGTTGGGTAGTTTCTGTTCTGCGAGAGTGTGAGTGTTAAAAAGTAGGCTCAACAAAAAGTCTTGAGGGACCCAGAGTACAAGAGGGAAGGAAAACCGTACCCAGCATGCCTCCTTTGATGCCCTGGATTGGTTACCAGTAAAAACACGGAAAATATTTCTTACCAGACTTTCAGCTGTTAGTTCAGATGGTGGTCCCAAAACACAACATGGAAAGTCTAACTGCGGAATACTAAGAAAAAGAAAACAATATTTAGAATAGCGGTGATTTGGAGATAAAGATAAGATGGGAAGCACGGATTGTGTGCGCTGCTAATGCGCCCCCTCTCACGGCTGTTGTCGTTCGATTCGCCTATACTTTAAACGTTTTTACTTCTGTTTCAACGGAAATTTAACTTTCAAATTCAATGTGGGACTCGCCATCATATGTGAGTAAAATTGCTTGTTGGTGCTCTCCTGCGCTTCAAGGTTTTGTCTCCAGGTTCAACGGTTTTCCTCCCTCCGAAAAAATTAACTCTAAAATAAATAAATAAATAAACAAACAAACAAACAAATAAATAAATGGATAAATAAATAAATAAATAACTTTATTTAGTGTCTAGTCGTTCTAGCGCTTTCGCACTAATTGGGGACACTTTTCGCTCACACGCACTACCACTATACATTTAATATTCTATGCACACAACGCTCAACTCACATGTTGATTTTTACGGAGGGAGGAAACCGGAGAACCCGGAAAAAACCCTCGTAGCATAGGAGAGAACAACACATCAAACAAACTCAGTTCACATGTGATGACCGCAGGGCTCGAACCAGCGACCCGACCCGTTGGACTCACAGAGGTGAAAGACGACGCGTTAGCCGCGAACGCCACCCATGCTACCCTTTCATGAGGGCCATGGGTTTGTAAGCCACTGGTTATTAAATATTGCCACTGTAAAAGAAGGTGTCAGGTACCAGTATCTGCCCTGTGAATGATTGTGGACAGACTGGACAGACTGCTTCTCACTTATCACGACCTTTTCTCTAAAACTCACGCGTTCTTTGCTGTTATGAAAGCCAATATGTTTTGGTTGAGGATTTTGAGTATGAGAGGGATACAGTTGGCGAACACCAAGTGTTGTGCCATGTATTCAAACTGAAAGTAAAAGTAAAAGAGAAAATTAAGACAAGCTGATCTAAAATGAAGGATTCGAGAGAAAATCTAGGATGTAATCTATTATGAAAGTTAGATCTATCGTAGCCTTAAAGTAGGTCTATCAAGTAGGTCTATTAAACACGTCTAATAAGCGCGTCCATCGAGAGGTCTATCAAGTAGGTCTATCAAACACGTCTAATGAGCGCGTCCATCGAGAGGTCTATCAAGTAGGTCTGTTATAACGTCTAATAAGCGCGTCCATCAAGCAGGTCTATCAAGTAGGTCTAGCAAACACGTCTAATGAGCGCGTCCATCGAGAGGTCTATCAAGTAGGTCTATCAAACATCAAACACGTCTAATGAGAGCGTCCATCGAGAGATCTATCAAGTAGGTCTATCAAACACGTCTAATAAGCGCGTCCATCAAGCAGGTCTATCAAGTAGGTCTATTAATCACCTCTAATAAGCGCGTCCATCAAGCAGGTCTATCATGTATAGATCTGACACGTCTAATAAGCGCGTCCATCAAGCAGGTCTATCATGTATAGATCTGACATTACTAACCTGGTACACATGGTTCAGTTTGAAATGCTTGAGTAAAACGAAAAGAAGACCAGAAACAGCCTTGACGATAATTTCCTGACCAACAAATACAGAAAGAAATAATCAACTAAGGATGCAGAACTGAGTTCAGGACGGCCCGCAGTACTTCTTCTCAGTAGTATAATAGTTTTTCGCTTTGTCCTTCACTCCCCACACCTCTCCCCTGAGGATATTATGCTAGCTACTAATCCTCACTCGGCCAAATTAACCAAAGCAAATACCAAACCGACAGCGACCAAGGAGAATGGAGGGAATGCTCACTCATTTTTTACCAAATGTGCCACGTATGACCATGCACAATCAGTCGTAGCCCTTGAAACATCCATGAAAAAATAACAAGTACACACCTTATGTCGATTAACATCGATTCCAAGGCGCATGGAATGAAGAACAGTTGATCTACCACACAAAAATAAAAACAATAGATAAACTAATAACGAAGTTTGTTAAAAATCCCGCTTTTCTCCCAATTTTCCAACTTACGGCATATCTTCTGGTAAGACATCTACAAGAATGTTGATGGATTCAGTTTTGGCCTTAGCTGTAGGTGCAGCAGCTAAAAGAATCTTTAACAGAGCGATCTAAGAGAAAAACATACGAGTTACACTTGAGCGGTCATGTAACTGACGTTTGTTACACTTAATAAATACAGTAATACTAGTCGCGCAAAGTCACCAACGTGAGTAAAGCCTTCTTAACTAATGAAATGCATCTTTCATCGTGGATGAAAATCGAGTATTATACTCATTATTACTCATATTCATTTGTCTCACGATTGTGGGCAGTTAGGAGGACGACGTTTCTCGACCGCTACTGCTAGTCTTCATCAGGCGATGGTGTAGACTCGAAGGTGATCTTCTCATATATCGTAAAGCCTTCTTATAAACAACGCACCATTGTTTTGATGCAAATTATTTTGACACTTGCGCATTAAGACTAACTATAATATTCTTCATCATAGAAAACCTGGGCCCCTATTAATAACTGTTGTCTTCGTTGTTGTTGTTATTGCACGAAATGAATGGGTCACCCTACATTGAAATAAAAGTATTTTTCTATCGTCGCACGCGCTCCTGGTTGACTCAGATTGGGACGGAGACGGCTGCACTAAATGCTATCTTCATGCGTCTGTTGGTCTTTCTTTACAAACGTGCGCTTTTGTGTTATGGTGTGCACAAACCTCGCTACAGTCTCAATAATTTGCGCAAGCTTATACCCTCTCACACCTGCTTCACCCCGCACAACACCTTCTTCAATCAGGCAACACAAAGTAACCTTATTTGCGCACGTTTGCATTGTGTTCCCCACACCTCACGAAACCACTCATTTATTTTTCGCGCACTTTCGTTTTAACCTGCACATAAGTTCTGCTTTTTTCATTTAGTTAAGATACTATATAAAACTAACCATGTACTGTGGAAGGTTTGGAAGCATCGCGATGTACATTTGCTCTGTAGCATCGTTGGAGCACTTCTTTGTTCTCTATGGACAAAATAGGAGACATTATACGGACATTTAGAAGCCTTTGAGTCTCAGATGCTAGGAGTCTTGCCCCATTTTTGACCACCAAGTTACATTCTCTTGAGTAATGTTTCTTTTTTCATCGGTGAGCATAAAGGAGATCCATTATTACGCACTTAAATCGAATAAAGAATTTTATTCTCCAATATGTTGAGAAACAGTCAAGTTTCATTTGCGAGTTTTACTCATATTTCCGAAGCTAAAATCAAGCGCATTATTCTCACCTTTAGTATTATGAATTTCCTTTTAAAAAAGCTTACGTAGGTACGTACATATATATGAATACATACATACATATTATGACTAGATTACGATATTGCCTAGGTTTCAACTCCAGCATTGATTCATTGGATAAATACCTTCGTAAAGGGTCTATCCTCTGCTTCGTCTTCTTCTTTCACTTGCAATTCAGACAACGATGTATAGAGATGCTAAAGACAAAATACAAAATCATATATGGCTTTAATAAAAGGGAAGCATGTTATACTGAAACGTGTTGCGACCGATAATAGTGATCAGTCCATGATAGTGATGGAGGTTAGTGGYTGATGTACGTTTAAGGAGAGGGCGAAGTTAAACAAGCAGTTACATGCCAAGTCCAATCAGATAGTTAAAAGACAGTGAATTGTTCCAAAGCCCTTTTACTAGTGAGTCAACCATAACGACATACGTAAGCGCACATTGTATTTTACATAAGGTTGACAGAACGTTTTGTCGTACCCAAATATAAAGGGCTAACTAAACGAGAAAGACCATCTGCGCTTGTATTATTAATCAACTTTAAAGCTTGCGCTATTACTAGTAAAAACCTGGCGTTTGCCATGGAGTGGCACCCCAGGGGAGGAGGGAGAGGGGAGAGAAAAAGGGGGGGGGGGGGGGAGAAGGAGGAAGAAAGGGAAGAAATAACGTTCGTTTCTGTGAAAGAATTTGTTGTCGTATTTGCGCAACAACGCAAAAAAAAAAAAAAAGGTGTTACGTAGTACAGTTTTACACCTCTCTATACGGCTTGCATAGATTATTAAGCGCATGTGCCCTGGTCATGTTATTTTTTTACCTTTTTAAGAACATTGAGTCCCTCGTGGATTGGCTGGGGTAGACCAGCAATGGTGGATCGGTCACTGAAAAAACAGGCAAATGAATGAATGAATGTCAAGCAACATTGGTTACATATCATAACATTATTCACCATAAGGATATATTAATTTTATAGTCAAGCATTTCGAGTCGGAGCATTGTTGAACAATTTCCTTTGGGTTTCCTGTGGTCCACTATTGCATCTAAAATAGAAGGTTCCAATGATAAATATATCTCCACAAATTGTGAAGTCGCTCTATACAGGGCGTCCCTATAATGGACTTGCTTTATACAGGGTATTCACAAGAATTTTCGCTTATTCTTGGAGTGCAACCACAAGACATTCTTCGTGGCATGTCTGTAAAGTAGCTTTAGCTAAGAACAATGACCACGGTAAATAAAGGTTATTGTATAACTCAAAATTTCTTGAGATGCGAATAAAATGAATGTTGGTTGATAATAATGGTTCTCTAAGTAAGGGTGTAAGGTTATTACAAGGGTATACTTAAATATTTGGCGTGCGCCTTATAAAGGGATATTCCTCACATGTCCGCTTTATACAGGGTTCTCTTAATAAGGTGTCCACATTACACAGGGTTTCCTTATATTTGGCAGGGCTATTCCTCATATAACGTATGCTTTAAACGGGGTACCTTCAATGATTAGACAATGGCAGACTTTAATAAGGCGGCAGGTGATTATAATCAGAAAAGAATTCTTTCAAGACTATATATCCCCTCATGAAAATAAGCCATGAAAAATAATCCCATTACGTAATAATACAACCTATGTGCTTGTTTAACTCAATCGACTTTACCGATGGCTTGAATTATCCTGTAAGGGATGCAAACGATACATACACACACGCAGACTTAAATCTCATCAGAAAAAAAAAAAAAAAATCCTTCAGACGAAGGAAAGAGAGCATAAAAGGAAACACATTCGAACCTGCGATCACAGATGTCTGGATAAAACGAAAGTAAAAGTAAAATAAGTAAAAGTATTAAGTGTAAACGTGCTCAAGGTGAAGCTAATGTCTGATGAGATAAGCACCAGGACAGGATCTACCTTTGAAGGTTTTTCAGAGGTCATTAGCCAGTGGTATCAATTCCACTCCAGCAAGGGATTACAGACTCGCCATGCACTTGTTTTGTGCCAAGTGTCGAGGAAGTCGACGGCGACTTGAAAAAACACCGCAGTCCACCTCAAGACCAATTCATAATTATATTATGATTTGAAAAGAATTTAGAATTCCAGGATCGGACAGGAAGATAAAACATGATGAGTATCATTCAGTAAAGGAAAACAGCTTGGTGAAATCTTTGCAGTAGAGATCATAAACGGATGTGCGTGCAACTATCAGAGTTAATTTATCATCAATTAAATAGCAGCTTGTTGTTGACTCAAGAGTTCATATTCAGGTACTTTTTGAAAATCCCTTTGGTGAAAGAATCTACTGACTTCCGGTAGCACTCAAAGAAAATTTCCATGAGCAGAAAGACTAGTTGCGCAAGTAATTTTAACGCTTGAAAACGTTTTTAACTGATAAAACCGACAAACTATTTTTATGTTTAGACTGAAATGAGCTTTATTTTACACAGAAGATGTCTGCGTACCAAAGAGAAATTTAATATTGGACAAAAATACTTTCAATAAATGTAGAAAACGTGAAGGAAAAAACACACAAAAAATGATTTGCACCGCGTGTGCACGGCTTGGTATCAAATCAAAGATCTTCTTGATTTTTTTTTTTTTTTTGTCTCTGCATGAGCCTACTGCGAGATAAAGTAGAGGAAAAAACTTGAATGTGTTGAAACATTATATTGATGTTCTGATATTCTATCTCTTCAGACGACGTTTAGTTATCTGGGCCCCGTAGCGCGAGATGCTGCATTATGGGTGTGTCCAATTCATTCTTTTAAACAAGAAGCCGCATTGTTTCTTATCGTGTTTTTCTCAGTTTCCTCATTATGGCTACGGTTATCTCACTTGTTTGGTAGAGTACTTGTTTGGTTTACAGTTAGAAACTAAGCCAGCCCTCGAGGGCACAGCAAACAAACCCTGCACCAGACGAAGTAGCTTATCGAAAGACCTTCAGCCGTTAACACCTGAGAAGGGGAACATCACTATGGCAAGTTCACATTTGGCAAACAAAATATCATACGCCATTTATAAATATGTGTTTGTAATGGGTATATAATCTACTGATACGTAAAGCTAGTGGTATAAAGTTGCTGGGATAATATCAGTCGAAGTCTGAATAGTCTATAGCTCACCTAGACATCCATTTTATCCCCCTAGTTTTCAGATCATCGAATTATAACATAAATCATTATCATTATAGAGTCAAAGCCAAGGAAACACTGAACTAGAATTCTTTGTAATGTCAAAACTACTACCGGCGATAGATAACTCCACAGCAAAGCTCTACCAACATGAAAGAACACCGAAAAATCTATCTAAAAATTAAATTAAACAAATACCATAAAAAAATTCCATAAAATACATTTTCTAAAAACAATACGTATTATTGGCGTTTTTTTGACAGCCAATTTTATCAACACACAACTTATTGTAGTTAAATTGGGGTCAGCTATGGTTATTGTACAGAGAATAAGGTCATGTTTCACCCCCCAATACACTAACTACCACCAGAGTTATCATTGTAATAATCATTTTGTTGTTCTCTAGTCGAGATTTAATCAGTTCATAAGTTCAATGTTAGACTCAACTCAAGAACGTTTCGTGATTGATGCCTGCATTCTCTATCTCCATAAAAGGCAACGATGACGTCATTGGGGACCCTCTCGAAAACAAATCCCACAACTAATAACCAAAACTAGAGAGATAAGACTCATGGAGTCGAGCTATCTTTCGTTTGATAGGAAATAAAACAATCTAGGGGATGTAAATAGGAATCGTCCTAGAGGCACGTGAATGTTGACGGAATCCTGTTTTTCTAGGAATATCTTAAAACATGCGTAGTTTACAAGGATCTTTTTACTAGAGCMTTTTCCTTATAGCCATTTAAGGTTCGAGTTTATTGGATATCCTTAATACGAGAACTGTCTGAGGGTCAAAGGAGAAACTTTTATATAGGGGCTAAAAATAGAGCAAATAAAGAAGAATGAGGGGGGTGGGGTAGGGGGATGTCACTATTGCATTAGAGATGATCAACCCGCACCGCGATATCTACCTGAAAGAACCTGGCAAGCGAGTGTTTAAAAAAAGAATCGTCCTTTTCTTGGGAGGGTCGCTAACAAACCTGTGGCCTTCGCTCAATTTTGACGAAGGGATGAAAACCGAACCCGGAGAAAAACCCTCACAACATAAGCCGTGAGAGAACAACACACCGTCCAAGGTCTAGATATGATAGACAGGCAGACAGAAATAAAGAGCCTGTAGTTTATTTGGGTTAAATGAAACCTATTTTGATTAAAGGAATCAAGGGTTTTGATGCCTGTGTGATACAGTGGCTGTTCGTTGTACCCTCTTTCCCTTCCCTGGATAGTGTTAAAGACACCAAAAGTATACCACCCGACCCACCCCCAAGATGCTTTTTGTCGATAGTCTTGACCTTATTTGRTTACAGCTTTTGGATCAGAGCAGGACAGTGAAAACATCTAAGATAGCTGATAATATGATACTCTGATGTAATGTTAGGGTAAACACCGCACCATAAGAATGTCAAGTGCAACAGGTTGTTGTTCTCGCTTTCTGCTTTAGTCAATCGGCTTGTTGTGGAATAAAATAAAAATTTAAACCCAGGAGAAGGCCTGACAAAGTGTATTAAAAAATAATGCAAGTAGTTGCCAACTTTGGCCCACTGTGGAAGCCCGGTGAGAGGAAAACCTGCTTTGCGCGCATATGCGCGCGAAGAAATCCGTTTCCTGTTGTGATATTCGCCAGTTTTTTGTCCCTCGTCTCAGGAATTACTTCTTGGCAAAGAAAACCGACTTGTTCCAGGTCCGCTTGAAATGCTAGCTAATACAAGGGTATTCAAAAATCTATAATCGCCATGTAGTTGAGTTTTCGTGGTCGCTCCTTGATGGTCGAGTCGACCTGCTATGGCCGTTCGAACCTCTAGGTTGTACTTCCGTATATGAATAGAAACGCGACTTTCGATGGCCATTTCAAACAGGTTGCTAATTTTAGACCTAACATAAGCCAAACCGACTCAGCAAAGGCGACGAAGCGGATGCTGATAGAAGTACTGCTGAATATGGGCGTTTTCTAACCAAGGAAGCCACGATTGACGCTGAAATTGCAGGATTAAAAATATTTGTTTATGAGGGTACTGTGTTTGGTTTGGCTAATGATTGGTGTGAGCGATAGCAAAATAAGCTGGAATATACACAGAGACCTTCTTTGTGGACACAATTACTTATCCATACAAGTCATCAATGATAATGGTTTATCGGTACTTTCTGGGAAAATATGATATACGAGTGTTTCTATCCTAGATAATATCGAATAAGGATAGTATCGTTTTAAGAAAAAATTAAGAGACAGGGCCATGAAGTCTATCGATCTCGTGGGTCACCGAAATAGCGAGTGAATCGCCCCATTTTGTACTGAAACACCAAGAATACTTCTAGGCATTAAAACTGTAATCCTTCATATGAAGCAGATGGAATAATAAAGCTATTTCCATATGTGATGCCGAATTGAATGACCTGATTGTGATAGAAGGATTGAGGCTCGGGGGCTATAAGGACCGAGTCTGAGCTATCAATAATATTGATGTTATTAATGAAACCGGTATTTGAAGATGGCTGCGATTTTCATGTTGTATACAAAAAACATCCAAGCTTTGGCGTACAATCAAACCTCAGTTATAGTGTCTCAAAAATTTGTCTCATTAACTTCCCAACTTGGTAATAATAAAAAGACACTTTACAGCACTTTGTGTCGGGACTTTGTGAGATTTTATTAAGCGCTTTCTAAGGGCGCAACAAAAACCAGAGCCGACAAATTCTCGTCAAAAGAGTTTTTCTCAACCGAGCAAAATAGGTCTTAGTTTTTAGAGCAAAAAGTTGAATAAATAAGGAGGCAATAATGGTCTGGCATCAGTGAAACTTGACACATCCCGCCAATGTACTTCTTATTTCTTAAACTCTTAGGAACAATATCAAATTGCCTGGAGCTGCACAGCAGCCAGAGGCATTTATGGGTCCTAAGGAATATTGGATTTATTCGCATTTAGGTTATAACACTAAAAGTAGATCCATCTTCAACTTGAGTGTTATGCTTTAGACCAGACTTAGCCTTCACTCCCTCTCTAGGTGTCGTCTTGGAAGGCATCCAGTCCGGCTTGAAGGTCAAATGAAAGCCTAACTTGTTAATCAATATAGGTTGATTCATTCTTTATTATGTACCGTATTCTCAATGGTTTGGCTTCTGACAAATAAATCTTACATGTCTTCAGCAAACTTTTCGATCCAGATAAGGCAAAATAAAGTTAGGAATTGTAGGATTGTATTGATAGAGTTTAATTAGACTTAAATGAACAAGAGATAGCGTAAGGTGAGAAAAGATGTAACAAGATTGATTAAGAAAATATACAATCCCTTGTGAACCTAATCAAGAGTATAAATGATATACTAGGTATTCTGGAATGTTCTCTACTGACATAACGGCCCGTTCATCGCATAGATTGCCATCTCATGAAACTAATATTGACATAACTTGCCAGAAAAAAACCCCTAAGAAGTCGCAGGTTTAAGTAATGCTTCCCTTTCCGGCTGTCACCTGTTATGTTCCTCAAGGAAATTACAAACCCAATCAGTTATTAGAAACGCCAGCAATCTAACATGTATACAAAAAACAAACAGGAAAGCAGTATCTAGGAATTACAGTGTAGCGCCGTGGATTCACTGTGAACGCACACCGTTGATAAGCTTAGGGACAGATTTAAGAAAGCCCATGAATCGATAAAAATAATTAGCCCTGATAGAATAAAACAGCATGGATCTATCATGTGAAGTGCGAGACTTTTATATCAGTTGGTAAATCCTTTGTCACACCAAGACTGCTGTAACAATAGAGGTTATTAGATAGATCCATGACGTCACTAACAGGACTCTCTAACTGACATAAGCAGAAGGTGTAGGAATGTGAGGCGATTGACCACAGATCGAGGACAATCCAACAAGTTGACTTGGATCGATCGATAGACAGGACGATTTAAAATGCCGAGGTCTTTCCTTGTGAAGAAGATTTCTGAGAAGAAAGGGCCATCGAGTCGAAATGTGCCTGGACTGGCTCACCGCGGATTTGGTAAGTTTGCAAACAAGTCGTTCGAGCAGAAGATATGGTGCACTTGTTGTTTTAGCACAGCGGGTAACAAGTGTAATCAAGACTGATTAGTTCTTCTTTATTCTTGGTGGTTTTCTGTTCAAAATATCGGCTTTTTTAAGCTCAAAACTACGAGGACTTAAGAGTTTTGAATTAGTAGAAGTAGTGGAGTGAGTTTCGTGTCGTATCGAGGAAGATTTGATGAGTGAGTAGGGTTATTACGCATTTGCATTTCGTGCAAGTAGTTGATGATCCTCTTCTGATGGTTGATTCTTTAGGTTACACGGACAAGACGCACACCGGTTCATCGCGCACTTTTCTCAATCATTTCGACTCGAAACCCAAGCAAGATTCGAAGATCAAATACTGGAATGGTTTAGGAACACCTTGTATCTACCCTGCTGAAGTAACAAGCGTTCCTGGTTCTAAAGAACACTCATCCATGACCGAGACTCGAGTGAAATTTGAGCACTCATCAGATCAAGTTGACATCGGCTTGGTTGGGGAAGTCGATTCTGATCCACAATCTTCACCAAGCACGGACAAACGCCCAAAACACCAATGCCATCAGTGCAGTAAATGTTATTCAACGCTTCTTGGTCTCGCGAAGCACCAGCAATTCCACTGCAACACGCATCACAAGAAGACGTTCACCTGTAAGCACTGTGATAAGATCTATGTGTCACTTGGAGCCTTAAAAATGCATATTCGCACCCATACACTGCCGTGTAAGTGCAAAATCTGTGGCAAAGCCTTCAGCCGTCCCTGGTTGCTTCAAGGACATATTAGAACTCACACAGGCGAAAAACCATACCAGTGCTCGATTTGTAAGCGAGCTTTTGCGGATCGTTCCAACCTGCGTGCTCATATGCAGACACATGCTGAGGTCAAAAAATATTCTTGCTCGAGATGTGCCAAATCCTTCTCCAGAATGTCTTTATTGGTAAAACATGAGGATTCTGGATGTCTTTCCATTTCACACGACTAAATACTGCACCACAAATATATTTACCAAACTTTAAGCTTTTTACACATTTGCAAGGTGTCAATAGAACAAAAAATTTCTCTAACATGACTAACTGCCAAGAATGATCTCGAAGGGTTTTAGATTTTTTACCGGTGTTTTCGACAATTAAAATTTACATTTTATGAAAAAAATTGTCCCAAAGCTGAACAATTTTAAGAATAATGAATTTTTGATCGATTGCGCTTTAAGAGTTAATTAACATCATCCTCGAGCTTTTTATAGAAGCGCCGCAAAGCCGCAGCTATTCAAAAATCTTTAGGATTTTTTTTGACAGCAGAAAGTTTACAATTGAATTGACTTCGAGTTCCTCAAAGTTTACTGTCCGTAGATGACGGCAGAATAGTGTTTTTGGTTGTGTGCCATGTTATTGAAGCGCAGTAAGCAACAGGTTGTAAAGGTATGTCAGATTAACAACCCTTATTAGACTAAATAGTTGACCATCGAGGAAGATAAGAGGCGACATCAAAAGCAAACAACATTTATTGAATATACTGAAGAGTGTTTTAGCTCAGACGGGCGAAAGTTCCAAGGAATTTAATAATGAATAAAGAGACTCAGAATAGATGTGTGTGTGCTTTATTCTTCTTTTAAGTGACAGGAAATGACCTAGACTTGCAAAGAATCTGCGTCCTCATCATCTAAACCCCGCGGTTTATTACCACAATCGCAGTAATGGAAAGAAATCTTGATAGCTACCTTGCAGGCCTATTAGATTAAAAAGGAGGGCTTTAGATAAAACTAGCTAGTTTGACAGATTCGAGTCAGGATCGGAGATTTGATCGAGCTGTTTTGCGCCCAATCACAAGGAATCAAGGTGAATCTCGATACGTGAACGGAAAACCAAAGCCCTAGGAAACACAATCCTGTGGGGCCGAGATTTAAAAAGCTTATCTATCTGTCCACGCAATGAATAACTTGAAAAGGCTATGACTGTGGACGTCAAAGGAAACCTTCAAATCGGACTGGCAGCCAAGGAAGAAGGGCTAGCACTTGGAGTTTGATGCCACAAAGAAGTTTTCTGGTCTATTGTCTAAGAGTTGTTGACTTTGCAATTAGGTGGTACGACCTTTCATGACGAAAGATTGAAGGTGTTTCATTTATACCGAAGAACTTAACTCCCTTGTGTCTCTTAATAGACACCTGTAGATTTCATCAAAATTAGGCTTGACCGGAATTCTATACCGTCACTAGCATTCCCCAAGTATGGTAACCCACACGAGATAACTCCAGCTAGCGCGCTCAAAAATGACAACTTTTGATGACAGCTTAAGTGAAAATAAACACAGAAAAGACCTTTAGAAAATTGAAGATGAGGAGTTGTTTGTACTAAATATGACAAAAAAACCTCGTTTTGATGAGGGATTTAACCAAAAAGGATTATGCTTAGCTCTTGGCACCGTGCATAGGATATTACATCGAGGTCTGGGTTAACTGAAATTAGAGATCGCAGAATCTAAAATAAGCAAGGACGGTGGAAAATCGGCAGGAGCTCTTGTTTGCGCGGATCATTTGTCCTCAGACTACATAGTACGCCACTTCCTAGATTTTGATTCAAAAGTGATCGGAACATACTGTAGAAGAGAGAGAATCCAGTGAAGCCATATCACAACGACCTTACGAATCTTTGAAATAGCTATGGGACTTCACTAGGGATGGTGCGAAAGGGCTTCATGCACTCATATCACACGTGCACACCCTTCTACACCTTCCTACCCCACCCCTCCTTGCAGTTTTTCCTACCCTTTTTCAAACCTTACTACAGCTGACCCATGCAGAAAGCGCGACAAGTTGAAGTAACACTAGTATACATTTTCTGTAAGTCTCTGCAGCTAAGGTCAAGTATTGCTGTACTGCGTCAGACAAAAACAAAGTCCTATTGAGAATAATAGTCCAGGACAATACAGTTGTGAGTGCACTTTAACTGACCTTTTATTGAAAACACACTGGCAGATTGCGATTAAAATCAATTGAACATAATCCACTTGTTGACAGACTGACCCCTAACACAGTAGCCAGGTCAGGAGATTGGACTTTAGACTTATATCCCAGGCGAGGCCAAATAACATCCTAAAATACGCCGAGGGATATGGTGCCAAATGATAGAGCAAAAAGGAGCAGAAAGTGTGTCAATGGATTGTTCCACAGAGATAAGAAAAAGATTTCGGAGTTTAGAAGTAAAAACGCAGAAAACCCAAATAGGAGGAACGTATTGTTATTGCTTTTTTGAATTTTTTTTCCAACCCCTAGACGATCGCCCGACCAAAATTATTTCCTTAAAAATGAGAAGGTCTGACTCTATTTTCTCTCTATTTTTCTCTGTTGTCTAGCTGTAGGTCTGTAGGCTATGTCCTCTAGTAATCTAATCCGGCAGACGGTATTTGCTTATAAGCCAACCGCGTAGCACCATAAAAGGTAAAAATATAAAACGTACCTCGACTAATTCTAGGGATACCTTTTGTCTCGTTTGTCACGCAATCACCAACTGTTCATTGAATGTGACAACGCTTACAGTGGAGGAGAGGGGAAGGTAAAGGTAACAATTACTCAGAATAAGCCTTTTCATAGTTTAAGAATCGATTCCACTGCGCATGCGATTTTATCCCGAATTTCTCACCTTCTTTTGTCTAAACCTTCTTTTGTTCTTAATTAAACAAAAGAAGGTGAGAAATTCGGAATAAAATCGCATGCGCAGTGGAATCGATTCTTAAACTATGAAAAGGCTTATAGAGGAAGAAAGAGCATAGAGAACCAAAGGAACGTGTATACAATCAGTATGCAGCCCTTAATAAAGCCATGAATCGAAAAAGTCTAGAAAGTATCAAAAGGTGATTGAAAATTGGAAAGAATAATGAATGAATACATGATCTTTAGACTCCTCTGAAGGTATCTCTCATTCCTTTCTGTTTTATTTTTCTTTTAGTGGGCATCTCCCCTCTCCCACGCCTTCCACAGGAAACCCAGAGAAGAAAAGACAGAATGAGAGATGCTTGACGTAGAGGAGAATAAATACTTATATTTCTTTATGCTGACCTTTGTAATTGGAATCCAACAAACTTTGATCTTGTGCTGTCAAGGTAATTATCTATGTCCAGTATCCTGATGATCAAAAAAAACCAAAAATCTTTGAATTGAAGTCAGGTATGTTAATGACAGATAAGTCACTGGCTTGGGATATATTGGGCTATAATATTTAAAAACACTGGAATCTACAATACTGCACCTTTACACCCTTCTTCACCCTCTCCTATCCTATCATGCATCATGGAAGCATGTGTGGATTTGGTAGAGTTTGTTTACATTTAAAATATGTAATGACATGACTCAAGAATGGCACAAAATTTCTCACTCTGAGGGTTTAGGGCAGAGATTGTAGCACAAATTTGCACACAGACGGACAGGCAGACAGACAGACACCCTTCTTCACCCTCTCCTATCCCATCATGCATCAGGGAAGCATGTTTGGACTTGGTAGAGTCTGTTTACGTGTAATATGTGTAATGACATGACTCAAAAATGGCACAAAATTTCTCACTCTGAGGGATTAGGGCAGAGATTGTAGCATACGTTTGCACACAGACAGACAGACAGACAGACAGACAGACAGACCCATGAACAGACAGACAGACCCACGAACAGACAGATAAACGGTCGAACAGATCATGCAAAAGCATTAACGTGTCTCTCCTCACTTACCTAACTTTAGGAGTTGGCCTTGGCCAGATATCTTCTTTAAATTTTTCATTTCTTGCTGTGTTATCACTTTCACTGCTATCGCTTCCTTCATTTTCCACTGTGGGGGGTGGGGTCTGTGGGATGGGTATCCGATGATGAGGAACATTCAATGAAATGGGTGGGCACTGCTCAGTATATGAAGGAGGAAGGCCTGCCTCAATTCTTTTCTGTCTTTTCAGACTTTCTAGTTCTTTAAGTCCACCCAAGCAAGTCTGGCAAGTAAGAAAGTAAAATTTTAAAGAATGAACAAAAAATATGACTATAAATTATTCTCAACAGAAAAATTGTGCTAATGCATCTACAATGTAGAGGGAATTTTTTTTATTGGTATATTTAAATAAATATAAATTTCTTGGGGGGGGGAATCTGATTTTTCCTGGTGGGGTTCCAACCTGAGACTTGATTACAAGTCAGGTGCTGGTCAGGTGCTCTAGCCACTGAGTACTGGGAACTCATACTAGGCTTCCTGGTAGACAGAAGCAGTTGTAGTTTTTTTATCGCCTTTGTAGTGTCTGTTATAATCTTAACCACAAATGCGTTTCAAATCAACCATGTGATACCAAGGTAACTGCCACGTGGTCAAGGGTTTTACACCACAGACAGACAATCAGAAGGACAGACAGAGGGACATACGAAATACAGACAGACATCAAATCAAATCAACCATGTGATGCCAAGGTAACTGCCATGTGGACAAGTGTTTTAAACCATGAGAAAAACGTGACTGCATTTCATGTAAAAAAACCTGGTGTAAATACTTTTTCACATGGTGGTACAACATTGGCATCATGTGATCAATGTGAAATGGACTTGTGGTTAACATAACAGACGCTACAGGGAATAACAGCTGAATTAAAAAATCACTACTGCCTCGGTCTACTGGGAAGAGTAGTACTGTAGTAGTGAGCAGGGTTTAGATTTAAAAACAAATGTAAAGTAGGGATTGGCAAAACCAAAAGGAGAGTGAGATTTTGTTATCTCTACTTAAAATATTTCTTTACTCATTTTTGGTTTTCCTGTGTGGCAGGAAAAGAAATGTTAGAATTCCACAGGTCGCCCACCAATGCAATACTAACCAAGACTGTCTTCCACAGTGTCAGTAATACTTTCTTGATAGGAAAATGAGGAGCATTGCCAGAACAAAACTTCAGAACCATTTCAAAGAGGATGATAGCCAGTGGGTCTTTATCTACAATAGGTTGATCTGTTGATGTGTTGTTTGAATCATTATTACCAGTGTATAAGGCTGATTTGGCATTTAAGACAAATGGAATGGACACACAGGTGGACAGACAGACAATCAGAAGGACAGATAGAGAGACATAAAAAATACAGACAGACGGACATAAAACAGACATGCATGCATACAGATAGACATAGTCAAATTAAACAGGACAGAGAGCAAGGCAGATATATTAAAAGACAATCGAACACCAGACCTGTTAATGAGAAAAAACAGACAAGCAAAGGACAGACGGACACAATAAAACAGGACAAGACAGACATATATGCATGAAGTCAGACCATGTAACAGACACAAATACATATTGCATACTTAGTTCCTTTTGAAATGTCTGTTTAATGCCCTTGATTTCATCAGTATCGGATTCATGTGGTATTCTCATTCTTTCAATCATGGTATACAATATATTGATATAGACCCTATAAGGAAAGGTTAATAAGGTTAATCATCATAAAACAATGGCATAACAGTTACAAATGCCTTCATATATGCCATTTTTACTAACAGTACAATACCTCAAGTTAGTACTATCCGCTATTGATATTGAAGGCTTCTGGAGTGCAGCTGTGGCAGCATGGGAATTCCTAAAAATAATTATAATTACAAGTTATTAAACAATTATGCTCCTAAAGAGTTGGTTAGGATTTTTCCTTGATTGCAGGATTGTATCCAGGTTCTCTGGTTTTCCTCCCTCCGAAAAACCTAAAGAGCTAAATTCCACATTGATCTGTAGTCATGTTTTGGCTATGATCAGCCCTGAGGTTGTTTCATTGCTTGATCTGTGAACTAGTCATGCCTTAACTTTGATAAACACAGAGGTTGTTTCAGGGTACCTATTACAACATTTGATTAGTTGAATATGAAAACTATTCTCACTCTATTTCCATTTGTAAAAGCTGAGTTACAATAGTAAAGGCTTCCAACTTGTAAAGGAGTATGACATTGTGGTTTGACTGAAAGAACAAGAAGAAAAACCATCAATGTACATTTGATAAATAAAAATGTGTTAAACATATGGAAGTAAATGGATATCTGTTAAAAGCAATTATCAAAATAACTAGAAATATTGCAAAATCAGTTGTTGCAAGTTGCTAACTAAAATGTTAGCTTTCACTGCTGCCAGTCAAAAACATAAAACATTGCAACTGATTATTTTTGATTGACATTTCCTATGTGAAAAAACAAATTTCAGCATGCAGCTCAAAGCTACCAAGTTCAAGTAATATTGAAAACTGCACTTTGCACCATCATGTGATGGCACCCATGATAAGGGGCAGGAAAAATTGAATCTGTTCTAGTCTGATTTACATGAGAAAGAATTCAGTTTTCCCGGGGGAAAAGAATCTATTGTTGTGCCTCCTGTCATGGCAGCCATCATGTGATTGTTGAAAGCCTCTATAAGCTTGCGTTGTTTTCACTATATTTTACTAGTAGACTTTTGAAAAGTCCTTCATCTTCATATACTTAATGCTCACTGATTGAAGTACAGGCAGCCCAACTAGGATCACATGTACTAGATGAAGGACTTTGCTGAAGTCTACTCGTAAGTCTGTGTTAGTCCCAGAGATGTGGACTTGGAGCAAGTCAACTGATATATTGAATATTTGGATGCCTGGAAAAGTACAAAACAGGGCCCGGTAGTACAAAGGGTGGATAGTGCTATCCAATGGATAAATCCTTATCCAGTGGATAAGTTGTTTCTGTTATCCAATAAATTCATCCACTGGATAAGATTTATCTGCCAGATAATGCTATCCAACCTTCGTACAACTGGGCCATAGCCACCCCATCCCCAATCCTGTGGTCCCTGGTAGTACCACTTACCCATGATATTTGTTCTTCTTCACTTCTGAYTTCAGCAAAATTTCCTTTCACAATAAAAAAAAGAGTACGAGTTAGTGACTAGTTGATGGAAGCCAAGAATCAGACATGAGAGAAGTGTTAGGAAAAGCACATAGCCTAGCTCCACACAGGGTATATGTATAGGAACTGGATTGCACCTCAATTGAGTAGATATTAAAATAACAAAAACATTTTAGTTTAATTTAGGTAATCACTATTAGTAATGTATAGCAAAAACATGTCCAACTTCTTAAATATTATAATTATACTTTTAAATTCTAAATTTTGAGAGATAATTTTTTGAAAATAAGGAACTGTATATGGATGGAATGGACTGGACTCCAGCTAACTGAATCTTCAGACCGAAAAATGTGTTTATACAAAATTTGCAGTTTTTAATGGGTATGGATAATCTTTATGCAAAGTAAAAACATATTCAACTTCTAAAATTTGATTTATGCTTCTAAATTTGGAATTTTGAGCGATTTTTTATTTTTGGA